GAAAAAAAAAACAATTATTTATAATTTTATTTATTAAATGTAAATATATATGTAAAACTATCAGATCAAATTGTTATAAAATACTTTTTCCATCTTTTAAATTACTAACAAAATACTTTTGCCTATTTTAATATATATATATATATATTATATAAGGACTCAAAATTTGACTTAAATTTTTGTCACTACACTTTTCACTTTTTTACAAAAATATTTTTGCCTATTACAAAATTTGATAAATATATTTATCATGATTTTAACTTCGGCTAAATCATTTTTTTCACTTGAATATTCTTTTCACGAAAAGATTCATCACACTTTAGAAGTACAGACATGAATATTTTTATCATTATTGAGATAGCAAAATATTTGTCACGCCTGTATTATTTGACAATAAAAAATTGTTATGTAAAAATATTTGTATCAAAAATTATTTGTCTGTTATTAAATTTTTTTTAATTATTCCATCATATACAATTTTTGACAAATAATATTGTCATATAATAAACATGTGACAAATAAATGTTGTCATATGTTAGGAAGTAATAAATCTGACGCGTGATTGTAGATGATGTGTCAGGAGTTAGTTTTATTTCTGTTACAGTGCACATGCAAAATACATGCAATGCGCATGTAATATAAAACACTTTACCATGTATCATTAATGATCATCATCAATAATACAGATCTGAATTTCTCTCTCTCTCTTTTGCTCTGTTTTTCCTGCGTTTTCTGTTAGTGTTCTAAGTTGGTATCAGAGTCTTTGACCAACGTCGAAAATGGCCGATCCCTCACCAATTTCTTCTTCCTTTGACAAAGCAAATAAGATTCAAGTCTCAAATACTCTTTTGATTCAGTCAATTTCTCCAATTCTTCTTCTCTCTCTCTTCAACACTTCCGGTAATCTCACCAAAATTGACAAGAGTAACCACCGTTTCTGGAAATCACAGATCCTATTTGCCGTTGAGCTCATGGACTCGAAGAACACCTCACTGGACTCGTATCATGTCCAGTACCCTTTGTTCATGTTCAAGTGGATAGCTCAAGTTCAGAGGTACACAAAAAACCTATTCAGAGTATCTACTTTGGAAGAATGATAAATTGCTGGTGAGTTGGTTATTATCTTTAATATCAAGTCTATGTTTCCTGTGATCTCTAAGTGTCAGTTTGCAACCGATATATGGTCAACCTTGGAAAGGAATTTCACCGATCGAAAGCAAAACACTGCATGTTAGAGTCTACTGCAAAACATGAAAAAGGATAGTTTAAGTATGCATGATTATTTTCTAAAGATAAAGTTATGCTGAGAGTTTGATTGCTAGTGGTGTTATTATCACCGATGAAGAGTTGTTGAATTACATATTGGATGGTTTAGATTCTGAATATGATGCGAGTTGTTAACATACCACTAGGCTTGAATCTAAGGTTGATCCGATAACGGTGCAAAAGCTCAAATTGTTTTCCAGAAGCTGAACTTAGGCGGAGAAAGCTAATAGTACGATGAATTCCTTGGTTCATACTGAGTTTCATAGCAGTTCACAAATATTGCAGTCTATCTACGAACAATGAAAAAACGAAGTTGCAATCTGTACCATAGTTCTCAACTGATCAGCTCCAACCTCACAACCTCCTAAGTTCACCAATCTGTTAACCAATCATACTCTGCACCTAATCAGAATTCAGTGGTGAATGACCCTCTCAGAATCAATTCATGCCACCTCAGAATCAATTCTTTACATCACAATTTGCTGGAGGGTATTCTGGTGGCAGAGGAAGAGGTCGTGTAGGAGGAAGAAACAGATTTATCTGTCAAGTATTGGTAACCCTGGTCATCTGGCATTGAACTGTTACCATCGATTTGATGTTAATTTCTCAGGAAACTCTTCAATGCTAAGGAACAATTTTAATCCTCATGGATTTGCAAGAGCACCTGAACCTTATCATGGGGTTTTTAATCCTTCCATACCTCCTCAACACTACTCACAAACTGCCAATACAGGCCAGCTACTACCATTTCAGAATGTCTATCAGCATCAACCCTCAGTTTTCAACACGCTCCGGGAACTTCCTCAGCAATACTGGTTTCCGTCTAATGTTGGTTCCTCAAACATGTCTAATCAGGTGTTTTGGCTCAGTCTCAGCGTATGATTAGGCACATAATCGACTCCTGCAGCCATTAACTACATAGTCACACCATCCACTGTAAGAATGCTGCATGGCACATGGACTCTGGAGCACAGACCATGTTACTTCTGATTTTCCTAGTTGACAACACCCTCCATTCACAAGAGAGAACAGCTTCAGGTTGGCAATGGTGAGTTGCTAACTATCTCACATATTGGTTCTGCTATATTAGCCTGTTCACTAGGATTTTGTATCTTAGAAATGTTTTGTTTGTTCCTAAATTACCAAATTTACTTAGTGTTTCCAAATTAACTAGAGATATGATGTCTTGGTTGAATTTTAAATGATCATTGTGTTGTTAAGGACAATCCTCCAAAGCAACCCTTCTCCAAGGAGTTCTAAAGCTGGTCTGTACTAACTTCAAACTCCAGTCTGCCCTACCTCTACTTCCATTGTACTTTGTCTCCCTCGTTGTCCTCTTCACACAATGTCCAGCATCAAAGCACCAGCTCTGTGTCATTTTCTTGCTCTTCGAATCAAGGTCTTCTTGATTTGTCTCAACAATCACCTGTGATTTCTTCAACTTTCAATAATGTAATGCAGATTTTACTTTCAATAAGGGCAAAATTGTAGAGAATACACTGATCTTACCATGTATTCTGATTGTCTATCCCAAGCAATGTACCCTGTGCACCTATTATTAATGAAAGTACTGTTTTGCATCTTCTGTTCTTGACAAGTCTGTTAACAACTAGTTAGATAGTTTTCAATCTTTTCCTACTAGAAAACTGACATTATGATATGGCATAAAGGTTGGGTCTCCTAACTTCTTAGTTCTTACTAAAATTCTGAAAAATTTGGACATTCCCTTTCACACAAAAACTGACCTCACATTGTTTCAGCTACCAATATGGAATTGCATCAATCTACCTATCCAAAGTCTACCTTTCAGCCTCTAAACCTCTTGAACTTATTACTCCGACCTTTGGGGACCTTCACCTATCCCTTCACCTAAAGTTTTAAATACTAAATCCAATTCTTAGATGATCATACAGATTCACCTGATTTTTCCTCTAAAAACCAAGTCTGAAACCTACCCATCTTCACTCATTTCATAAACTTGTTGAGAAACAATTTGACACCCCTTGAAATGTGTTCAAACTGATTAGGGGGGTGAATATAGGAGTCTAGTTCCTTATTTTAAAGCCAATGGTATCTTGTTTAGACATCCTTGTCCACACACCCATCAACAAAATAGGAGGGTAGAGAAAAACATAGACAACTAGTTGAACAAGGTTAACTTTTCTTGCACAAGCTAGCATGCCATTAAATTTTGGTGGTATGCATTCCAATAGCTGCCTATCTACAACAACTTCCCACACCTGTTTTGAACAATTTTTCACCCTTCAAAATTGTTTCATCACTGTCCCTAACTACTCTGCCATTAGAGTTTTTGGTTGTGCCGTTTATCCTTTTCTTAGACCCTATAACACTCACAAGTTTAACTTCATACTGTCAAGTGTACTTTCATTGGTTATAGTCTACATCATAAGGGCACAGTGCTTAGCTCCTTCAGGCAAAATTTTACTTGTCAAAGTGTCAAGTTTGATGAGTCAATTTTCCATTTCAAAATGTTACCAATTCAGCTCCAGTTTCATCTATTATATCATCCAGTTCTAGTCATTTCAACCTACTGCTTCATCCTGGTGTGTACCTATTACAATACTTATTCTTCTCCTATATTACCTACAAACTCACAATGTCAGTCTGCCATGATCATTGGAACAAATCAACAACCAGGATACATTCTCCAGTTTCATCTCAGTCCAGTTCACTTCAGACTTCCACACCCTCATCGTACTGATGCCCAAGTTTCTAAAAATGTTGAGTCTTCACCTGTGTCCACAACCTCTAAGACTGAAGAATCCTTGATGCACCTGTAACCATCTCCTCTAAAAACTCCTTGAAACTATACCACTTGCAGTTCACTTGCCTTTAGCAACATCCTTGCCTTTTGGAACAAATACACATCCTATCTAACTAGAGCAAAACCAAGCCCATAACACTGCCCTACTGCACCTCTTCATCGCTTGATACCAGAACCACACCTGTGTCAGAAGCTCTCTCTCATCCATCCTGAAACTGCTATGTAGCGGAGTTATGATGTTTGATATCCAATCAGACCTGGAGCGTTGTTCCAGCTACTCTGATATGAATCCATAGGTTGTAAATGGGTGTTTAAGGTTAAAACTAATCCTGTGGTTCTATACAAAATTAAAGCCAGTGTTGCCAAAGAATTCCAGCAGACCCCTGGTATAGATTTCTAGACATTCATCCAGTGGTTAAATCTCCAACTATCATAGTGATTTTGAGCTTGGCTGTAAGGTATGGATGGGATATACAGCAAGTAGATATTATAATGCGTTTCTTATGGGGATCTTCAAGAAAAAGTCTATATGGTACAACCTGAAGGATTTGTTCATTCACATATCCTCATCATGTTTGTAGATTAACCAAAGCTCTTTATGGACTTAAACAGTCTCCTAGGGCCTGTTTGATGAACTTAAGAAAGCATTCCTTGGGGGGGTTTGTTCATCTCTAGCAGATCCTAGTCTATTTGTGTATCAAAAAGAAAGCATATTGATGTATGTTCTAGTTATTGATGATATTTTACTCATAGGAAATGACTCCAATTTGGTTCAGAAATAGTCTCGATCTTAATACATAGTTTGCATTAAAGGCTTTAGATCTCTCATTATTTTCTTGGGTTTGAGGTGACAAGAAATAAGGCAGGAATTCATATGAATACAGGGAAATATGCAAAAGATCTACTGGTTAAAACAAATATGGTTGATTGTAAGCCTTGTAATACCCTAATGGCTGTTGGACCTAAACTTGCACTTGAGGACAGTGAACCTTTTGATAATCCAGCACTCTACAGAAGTACAGTGGGTGTACTGCAGTATTTGACATTGTCCAAACCTGACATTTCTTACTCAGTAAATAAGCTCAGTCAATTCTTAAAAGCCCCTACACAACTGCACTGGCAGGCCTGTAAAAGGCTACTGAGATATCTTAAAAGCACCTCCAATTATGGCCTTCAATTCTGTCCTAGTCATAGGTTTAATCTAAAGTGTTACACAGATGCAGATTGGGCCTGCAATCCACTAGACAGAAGGTCAACTGGTGGCTGCTGTGTGTTTCTCGGGTCTAATCTCATTCAGTGGAATTAAAGGAAGCAAAAGGTTATGGCTCTCTCTTCCATTGAGGCAGAATATAGGGCTCTTGCACAAGGGTCCACTGAAATAGCCTGGTTCTGTAGTCTTTTTTCTGAAATTGGTCTTAAGTTGACTGAAATTCCTGTTATCTGGTGTGACAACCAGAGTGCAGGTTCTCTTTCCTCCAATCCTGTCTTTCATGGTAGGACTAAACATATTGAGCTAGATGCTCACTATAGACGGGAACAAGTTACAGCAAATACGGTTAAGGTTCAATATGTTCCAACTGAGTATCAAAAAGCTGATATCTTCACTAAGGCACTTTCAACTTCCAAGTTTGAAACACTTCGAGGAAAACTTACTGTACAAGCACCTTTTGGTAATGCAGAATGTGTTATGAATTTTGCAAATTGATATTTGAGAAGTTATGCTACTGTGTTGGGAGTTTGGTAGTGCAGGATCAGAATGTGTTAAGAATGTGCAGGATCAGATGAAGTTCGCCACGAGCTGCTGCATTTGCATGAGACGAGCTGCTTGTAGCAACCAGTTCATCACAAGCTGCTGATGCATGAGACGAGCTGCTTGTAACAACCAGTTCGCCACAAGCTGCTGCTTTTGCATGAGACAAGCTGGTTGTCATGGGCTTTTGCATTTGCATGAAATTGAGTGAGTTTTCATTGTTCGTGAAGTTCACCGAACAGTGTGTTCGTGAAGTGCAGCAAATAGCAAGCAATAAGTGTTCGTGTGTTTGTAACGTGCAGCGAACAGCAAGCAATAAGTGTTCGCGTTTTGTTTTCGTAGCGAGCAGCGAGTTTTAGTGTGTTCGTGAAATGGAGCGAGTTTTCACGAAGTGCAGCGAACAACGAGCAATAAGAGCAATAAGTGTGTTCGTGTGTTTGTTAATCAGTTGAGAAGGTTTTGTTGAAGAAGGGATGTTAGAATGTAATGAAAGAACATAATGAAGAAGTAAAGAAGTGTGAGGTAAAGAAGTGTGGACGTTTTGTTGATGAAGGGATGTTAGGAAGTAATGAAATCTGACCGTTGATTGTAGATGACGTGTCAGGGAGTTAGTTTTATTTCTATGCAATTCAAGCTACCTTGAGGTGGTGTTTGATGTGGTTTAGTTAATACTCTACTTAGTTTAATGTGTCATTTCTAATCTATTGCAGTAAGAACTTCGACTGAGTAATTGATTCAAACTTTTAATTTTATGGGGTGAGTGAGAATATATATGATGTAAATGATGAATATGTATTAGCTTGAAATATATAAAAAAAATCAATTACAATATTTAGTTATGAAAAATAATAATATATATTATATATTAAAGATAGACAATTTTTATTATTTTTTATAAGATAAGTAATTTATTAATTAAATAGATATAAAAACCTAAAAAAGTTTAATTGAAAAGTTTGGGTCGTTAAATCAATAAATACAAAGCACATATAACTAAGTGAAAAAAAAAAAAATTCTATATTACAAACATGAAAAGAGAGTATACAATCGTACAATAAAATTATATTTGTTTGTTATGTATGCATTGAATTTGTTCTTAGCCCAACACTAAGTAATTAATATTAAAAAAAATGAATAACAACCTCTATCTAGTTTATTAATTAATATTCTTATTCAAATAATTTAATATGAGTTTGGTTAACTCAATGAACATTTTAATTTTAATCAAGAGAATTATTTTTCTTTATTTTGAGGAGGCCATGTAAAAATTATAAAAATTATGAAGGGCCAAATAACATAATTTGTGTTGAATATGGTGTAATTTCTTAGCCTTGACAGTTATGTGCCTACAACGACACATTAGAGGGTCCCTCCTCCCCGATGAGTGTGGTGGTCCCACTGCGCCAGTGAGTGGGCAGGGGTGAGAGGGCAGCTCCTCCTTCACAGTAAGCCCAATGTTTAATTGGGTTTAGACCTAGGTCGGGTTAGATTCGGGTAAGTCAATTCTAATTGTTCTTATAAATGAAATTGTTGGAGTGGGAAAAATTTTGGAGCCAATTTATAAGGAGGCGGCAATTTTATTTTTTAATTCACTCCTAAAGATGTAAAAATTAAAACTCTAAACTATTTTCAGTATCTTTCCTATTTTAAATATTTTCATACTTAAGTCAATATTATATATTTACAATAATATTCTAACTATTTTCAAGTATCTTCCTATTTAAATATCTTTCCTACTTCAACCTAGTTAATATATACAATTAAAAATCGAATTCTATTTTTAAGTGTATTTCCTATTTTAAAATATTTCCTATTAAAGTCAAGTATATATTTAAGAAATGAGTAACCTAATTACTTTTATCTGTTTCCTTTCCTAATTTTATCTTCTGTCCATTTTTTTTTTTTTCAACATTGTTATCAATCTTTCTTGTTATACGGACAATCATGGCATTGAGTCGAACTCAAAAGATTATCTCCAAGAACCAAATACCAGTCTTTCTTTTCTATCATCCCATTTGATCAAACCAAATACCAAGTCTCCTCGGTACTTTTTTCCATTTCTCAAAACTATATATCTTCTCTTTATTACTTCACAAATTTTCTCATCATAATAATAGAGGGAAAATGAGCATTGGAATAGTGGAGAGAGCTCTCAACAGCCTGGGAAAAGGCTTTGATTTAATTCGGATTTTAAGCCAAGTATTGACAAGGCAAAGAAAGGTTAGTTCTTCATAATGAAATGCACATATAATTTTCCTGATTTTGGATCCATCAAAAATGTTTCTATTAATTCACAATGTGACAAAGTGATCTTATCGTTACCAATCCGATATTCTCAAATTCAATAAGGTATATTTATTTGTTTTATTTCAGTATATCAACTCTTATCTCATCATCATTTTCTTCTTCATTGATTGAGAGAGAGAGAAATTAATAAATCTGTGCAACCAGAAATGGTTTACATAATAACGATGAATTTTGCCTTGTTGAAAAATAATTGTCATGTGTTTGTCTGACATCTTTGTTTTCCTGTGTTTTAGCTACGAAACTTGGTTTGGGCACATCAAGCACGATGTCTACTTAGTCACATTTTTCAGTGCTTCATTGGTCTTGGAGAGCGGGAAAATCATCAGGGTATTTCAACGCATGTTTAACTTGGAGAGCGGTTCATGGGTGACTGATGTAGCCCACACAAAGTATTGGAGACTTGATGGTATTTTTCACACTCTTATTGATCGCTATCCCCTTGTTCTCTCTAATGAAATTCGTATTGAAGTTCCTTCTTTCTTGGGATCTCCGTGCCCTATCAAGGTAATGTAAGTTCTAATTAGCACAATATTTTTTTATTATCAGAAAGTATATTTTAGTTTTGATATTTTTAAAAATACTATCCATAGAGTTAGTTTTTTTTTTTTTAATTAAATAAAAAATACATATATAGGTCTACATAAAGAAGATATATATTTTTTGTATATTTATAAGAAAAAAGGTTTCCTAACGCAAATTTATACACTTCACAAAAAAAACACCAAGGAGAGTGACGTTTTTTAGTTTTCTTCTTTATTTACTTTTGATATAATAACGTAATAAAGAAAATATTGTTTTAATTAAAAGCTTTTCTAGTAATTAATGTATATTAGGTTATTGTTATTTTTTTTTTCTTCTCTCTATATATATTCTTATGACCATTATTTATTTATTATTTATTATTTTTTTTTTTTTTTATAGAATGAAAAAATGATCAAGAAGAGACCATCAACACATGGATGCTTTATATTTTTATCATAAAATAGCCATAGTAGACTATCTTTAGCTTTTATGTGTTAAACATACATTAAGGGCATTAAAATTTTAATGTTGTTGACATTATAATTTAAAATAATCTTTCTTGATATAATTTCATCTTAAGCTAAATTGATATATAGATTTATAGTTTTGATATGATAATAGATGCACATTCCATTGTGGGGAAAAAAAAAAACAATTATTTATAATTTATTTATAAATGTGAAATATATATGTAAAACTATCAGATCAAATTGTTATAAATACTTTTTTCACTCTTTTAAATTACTACAAAATACTTTTGCCACTTTTAATATATATATATATATAATATATAAGGACTCAAAATTTAATGACTTAATTTTTGTCACTACACTTTTCACTTTTTTAACAAAAATATTTTTGCGCTATTACAAAATTTGATAAATATATTTTATCATGATTTAACTTCGGCGTAAATCATTTTTTTACTAATTAATCTTTCACGAAAAAGATTCATCACACTTTAGAAGTACAGACATGAATATTTTTATCATATGAGATAGACAAAAATATTGTCACGCCGTATTATTTGACAATAAAAAATTTGTTATGTAAAAATATTTGTATCAAAATTATTTGTCATGTTATTAATTTTTTTTTAATTATTTCCATCACTATACAATTTTGACAAATAATATTGTCATATAAATCACATGTGACAAAATAAATGTTGTCATAAGTGAGGCTTAAACCCTAAAAATCCTTGGGGACCACCCCAAAAGATTCATGCCCTAAAAGAAACCTATTGCTTACAAAGAAAAAGGAAAGTAATGGAAGGATCTTCCTTACCTCTTGGATGTGGGGATTGAACTTCCTGCTATGAACATCAAATACGCACCAACTTGAAGGATGAAAAATCTAGTCTCGTGAGAGTTTCTTACTTTTTCTGAAAGAGTGAGTGTTGTGACATTGTTTAAGGCGAGCCTGGGATTTTATAGTGGGAGAAATGGCAATTGGTTTTCCCAAAGCCAAGTGACGTTAGGGTAGAATACGCCTCTCGCCTTTGATCGCGACCACGTGTCACTAATCGGTGAGAAAGAGTAACTGCCACGCTTCGAGAAATTCAATCATCGCTTCCCTCCATTGAAATAAACGAGCGACGGCTCGATTCCCTCCTCCACATTAAATGCACTCACATCCTCATTTAATGCCCTGATAGGGAATGTCGTTTCAGTATGGCTTGCATTTAATGCGCATGGCTAGCATTTAATGCGCACAAGACACGTCTG